AACTATTTGCCCCCTTCCTGATTTCTTATTCTTTTGCATGTTTGTCACACAAAATGTTTCTGATCATCAAACACATTAAACCATTAGTCAAAGATAACACAAGTAAACACAAAATGCAGTTTTGAAATGATGGTTTTTATTATTTAGGGAGAGAACAAAATCCAAACCTACATTTCCCTGTGTGAAAAAGTAATTGCCCCCCTTGTTAAAAAATAACCCAACTGTGGTGTTTCACACCTGAGTTCAATTTCTGTAGCCACCCCCAAGCCTGATTACTGCCACACCTGTTTCAATCAAGAAATCACTTAAATATGAGCTGCCTAACAAAGAGAAGTAGACCAAAACCACCTCAAAAGCTAGACATCATGCTAAGATCCAAAGAAATTCAAGAACAAATGAGAACAAAAGTAATTGAGATCTATCAGTCTGGTAAAGGCTTTGGGACTGCAATGAACCACAGTGAGAGCCATTATCCACAAATGGCTGCAACATGGAACAGTGGTGAACTTTCCCAGGAGTGGGCGGCCGACCAAAATTACCCCAAGAGCGCAGAGACAACTCATCCGAGAGGTCACAAAAGACCCCAGGACAACAAGAACTGCAGGCCTCACTTGCCTCAATTAAGGTCAGTGTTCACGACTCCACCATAAGAAAGAGACTGGGCAAAAATGGCCTGCATGGCAGATTTCCAAGACGCAAACCACTGTTAAGCAAAAAGAACATTAGGGCTCATCTCAATGTTGCTAAGAAACATCTCAATGATTGTCAAGACTTTTGGGAAAATACCTTGTGGACTGATAAAACAAAAGTTGAACTTTTTGGAAGGCAAATGTCCCGTTACATCTGGCATAGAAGTAACACAGCATTTCAGACAAAGAACATCATACCAACAGTAGAATATCGTGGTGGCAGTGTGATGGTCTGGGGTTGTTTTGCTGCTTCAGGAACTGGAAGGCTTGCTGTGATAGATGGAACCATGAATTCTACTGTCTACCAAAACATCCTTAAGGAGAATGCCCGGCCATCTGTTTGTCAACTAAAGCTGAAGCGATCTTGGGTGCTGCAGCAGGACAATGACCCAAAACACACCAGCAAATCCACCTCTGAATGGACGAAGAACAACAAAATGAAGACTCTGGAGTGGCCTAGTCAAAGTCCTGACCTGAATCCTATTGAGATGCTATGGCATGACCTTAAAAATGTGGTTCATGCTAGAAAACCCTCAAATAAAGCTGAACTACAACAATTTTGCAAGGATGAGTGGGCCAAAATTCCTTCAGAGCGCTGTAAAAGACTCGTAGCAAGTTATCGCAAACACTTGATTGCAGTTATTGCTGCTAAGGGAGGCCCAACCAGTTATTAGGTTCAGGGGGCAATTACTTTTTCACACAGGGCAATGTAGGTTTGGATTTTGTTCTCTAAATACTAAAAACCATCATTTCGAAACTGCATTTTGTGTTTACTTGTGTTATCTTTGACTAATGGTTAAATGTGTTTGATGATCAGAAACATTTTGTGTGACAAACATGCAAAAGAATAAGAAATCAGGAAGGGGGCAAATTGTTTTTCACACCACAGTATGTTGTGTAATGTCGGAAGTCTGTTGCATTTCTGTCTGAGGTGTTTTTTTGCATAGCAAAACCTCCCCTCCCTGTGGAGGGTAATGTCATGGCTCGAGGTAAGTGTCTAACCCAAGACATGCAGAATCAGCACACGTAGTCCAAAGCAGACGTGGCAGGCCGACACATACTCCTTCACGTCTCTGTAGAGGGAGGGCCACCAGAAAGATCGCCTGATCAGAGCCACAGTACGTCCTACTCCAGGGTGGATTGAGAACCTCCCGGTGTGAGCCCAGTGAATAACCTTTCCTCGTTGTGCCTGGGGAACAAACAGTCTGTTGGAGGGTCCGTTACCTGGGCCAGGATCCACCTTAAGGCCCTCCAGGACCTGGTCTCTTATGGGCCATGTTACTCCAGCAACGATGCAGGAGGCAGGCAAGATGGTGCTAGGAGCCGTCTCATCTTAAGAGGAGTGCTGGCAAGACAAAGCGTCAGGCTTTGTGTTCTTTGATCCTGGTCTATAGGACAAAACAAAGTTAAAGCGGGAGAAGAACAAAGACCACCTATACTGTCGAGGGTTCAGTCTCTTTGCCTCCTTGAGATAGATCAGGTTTTTATGATCAGTCCAAATGATAAATGGTAGTTCAGCCCCCTCCAGCCAATGTCTCCACTCCTCCAAAGCCAGTTTTACTGCCAGTAACTCCCTGTCCCCCACGTCATACCTGCTCTCGGTGGGTGTCAAGCGCCGTGAGAAGAAGGCACACGGATGAAGTTTGTGGTCTTCTGGGGATACCTGAGAGAGGACTGCGCCAACCCTGGTGTCAGAGGCGTCCACCTCCACAGTGAACTGCTGCTTGGGGTCTGGTCTGGAGAGGACTGGGGCCTCGGTGAACCTCCTCTTCAGAGTCCTAAATGCAGCTTCGGCTTCTGGAGACCAGGAAAAGGGCTTAACAACAGAGGTTAGAGCTGTCAGAGGGGCTGCGGTCTGGCTGTAATTGCGGATAAACCGTCTGTAAAAGTTTGCAAAGCCAAGAAACCGCTGCAGTTGTTTCCTGGTGGCAGGGGTAGGCCACTCAGTCACTGCTTGGACCTTGTCTGGGTCCGCCCTCAGCCGTCCACTTTCTAAAACAAAACCAAGAAACTTAACTACTGAAACATGAAATTCACATTTCTCGGCTTTTACAAATAGTCTGTTCTCCAACAGCCGTTGGAGTACCATCCGAACATGTTTCTGGTGTTGATCAATGGACCTAGAAAAAAATCAAAATATCATCAAGATATACAGATACAAAGTCATTAATGTAGTCCCCCAACACTGAGTTCACGAGTCTCTGAAACACCGCTGGAGCATTAGTGAGGCCAAAGGGCATCACCAAATATTCAAAGTGCCCCAGGGGTGTCTTAAAAGCTGTCTTCCATTCGTCACCTTGGCGGACTCTGACCAGGTGATATGCATTGCGGAGATCCAACCGCGTAAAAACAGTGGCATCTTGCACAGGTTCAAAGGTTGATGAGAGTAGAGGGAGCGGGTACCTGTCCTTAACCGTTATTTGATTTAAGCCCCTGTAATCAATACAAGGGCGAAGCGACCCGTCCTTCTTGGCCACGAAGAAAAACCCAGCTCCCAGAGGCGAGGTGGATGGCCTGATTATGCCATTGGCTAGGGCCTCTGTAATGTATTTCCTCATACTGTCCTGTTCAGGTTTGGACAGACTGTAGAGGCGGCTGGTTGGGAGCGGAGCTCCTGGCAACAAGTCTATTCCAATGTCAAATGGACGGTGAGGTGGCAACGTGGCTGCTTGATCTCTACTGAACACTTGCTGTAAGTCATGGTACTCACTTGGTACCTGGGTGAGATCGGGCGGCTCCACAAGAGTCTTTTCAGAGTCCTTGGATCCAGAGGAAGCAGAGGTCAGGCAGGTAAGATGACACTCCAGACTCCAGGTCTCCACACGGCTTGATCTCCAGTCCAAACACGGGTTGTGTACCCTAAGCCAGGAATGGCCTAGAACTACTTGGTTCTGCGGGGAGGGAAACACAAATAATGAGATAATCTCCGTGTGGTTACCTGAGACCTGGAGCTGGAGTGGTTGGGTCCGGTGGGTGATTGTGGCCAGGGGCCTCCCATCCAGGGAGGACACTGTTAAAGGTTCCGGCAGTGGAACAGTAGACAGTCCCCAATCCCGCACCAGTTGAGGGTCCACCAAAGACTGTTCACATCCTGAGTCTACTAGAGCAGTCGTCCGGTGGCGACGACTGTTAACAGTCAAAGCACAGTCAATAAGAAAACGGGAGGTTTCTTTACCTGAATGACTGCCCACCAGAACTCCCGGAACTACTGGTGGGCATGCCCTTTTGACGCCGCAGGGCAAGTGTGCACCATGTGTCCTGGTTTTCCACAGTAAAGGCACAACCCTTTACTGTAACGATGTTGGCGCTCCTCTGGAGTAAGGTGGGTACGTCCCACCTGCATGGGCTCCTCGGGTGAGTCCAGAGGAGGAGACCTATGGGATGGACGATGTGCTACAGGTGGTGACAGATCCCTGAATGGTGTCTTCTGAAGCTCCCTGTGTCTCTTGTCGATAGAGATGCATAATGAGATCAGTCCGTCCAGGGTTGATGGCTCGGGGCACAGAGCCAGCTGGTTCCTTACCCGATCGTTCAGCGCTTCGATGAATGCTGCTTTAAGGGCATCGTCTCCCCATGATGTCATTGCAGCCAAGGTCCTAAACTCCAGAGACATGTCAGCCACTGACCTTCTTCCCTGCGAGAGGTGCAACAGTCTTTTTCTGATGTCAGTGGTGGTCTCGGAACTGCAAAACGTCAGTTTAAAATCCTCCAGAAAGTCTGGGTAAGAACCAGACAGGAAATTAGAATTTCTGCTCTTAGCCTCCGCCCACCGAAGCGCCTTGCCTCTAAGTAGTCCAACAATAAACGAGATCTTCATTGAGTCAGTAGGAAAAGACCTCGGGGAGTCTTCAAACGCTAGGCGGCACTGTAGCAGAAACCCAAAGCAATCCTCGAATTCACCGGAGAAGGTCGGACATTGCCGAGGAGGAGCCGAACGGAAGTGGGTGATTTCCGGAGAGCCGAGCGCCTCCGGTCCAGGTGAAACCACACCTCCCGAGGCGTGTGCGTGTCGTTCTGTTCCGAACGCTGGAGCGGCGGCTGTCGCTGGAGCGGGGACGGAACCCGAGGCTGTAGAGGAGAGCTGCTCCTGAAGCTGCTGCAGGACGGTCTCCAAACATTGATAACGTTGGTTGGTGATATTCAGCTGCTCCATGAGGACGGGAAGTGTCTGCTCTTGTTGGGACATCCGGGTAGCCAGATCCGCGAGTGCTGATTCCGCTGGATTAGATGTGTGGCCGGATGATTCTGTCATGGGTCGAGGTAAGTGTCTAACCCAAGACATGCAGAATCAGCACACGTAGTCCAAAGCAGTAAAGTAAAATGTCTTTATTATAAAAACGGGAACTGAAACCGCACAGGGAAGTCCTGTGGGATGAGCAATACGGCTCGAGTCTCTGAGGTGCTCAGGTTAATCAGGAGAGGAGGGGAAGCCGGTGAGGACGCTGGGCAGAGGATGAGAGATCCAGGAGGGGTGAGGTAGCAGAGGGAAAGCCAAACAGGAACGGCGGAGGAGGATGGGACGTGATGAGTATGTTCCAGAAAACGAAGACAGCGAGGGTGAGTAGATGATGAGATGATCCTGAGCGAGACAAAAACAGGCGTAAGGGATTATCCAATTCCAAATCCAAAATACAATCCAAGGTCATAAATCCACTAGTCGAAGGCGAGTCAAAACACGAATTAACAAGATCAAAGTTCAGAGTCGAGTGGCTGGTGCTACCTAAACTGGTGCAATCATCCGGCAAAGTGATGTGTCTCCATCCTCCTTTTGAACCCGCGTCCCTGATTGGGAAATCTCCTGCAGCTGCCGCTCCCCCTGCTCCTCACCTGTGGAGAATTAGCTCAGAGTCTGGTGAGAGGAGATGGTGTGACTCACCTCTGCCCAGGAACATGACAGGTAACTCTGAAGTGCCTTTTTTTCCTCCACCTGATCCAATCATCACGTAACCCCTCTGTTCTCTATTAAGGTAGCGCAACTCAGGTTGTGAATGACCACTGTCACCAATTCCTGTCATGTGTCTTTGCCTATGTATGTCTGGTCTCTGAATAAAAATCTCCTTCTGGGATTAATAAAGTCTCTTTGAACTGAAATGCCTTGAAACAGCCCTGGGTGTGCGACTGAGTTTTGAAGGTGATCTGAACCGCATAAAATGTATAAATATTACATGTGTATAATTTATTGTTTAATACAGGTAAAAACATGTAGTGGAGATAAATCTACTTATTTTACTTTTCAACACTTTGTTTTGTTTTCTTGTTTTTATTTAACTATTTTCCTGTCCTGTGTGTCTCTCATCTTCCTGCATCTCCTCTAAACTCTCCACAAAAACTGCTGCCTGGATTCTTACTTTTTCACCTCATCAGTTACTTTTGAGCAGATCAAAGGGATCTCCTGAACGCAAAGCGGAGTGCGCGTTTCAATGCTGCGTCAGTGAGGTGAAATCACCGCAGCACAGGTGATGAGCTCCGCAGTAGCAGAGCTCTTCAGGCACGAATAAGACAGAAAGTAGAGAACATGTGCGGACATGAACAATCGTGTGTTAATTATAGTTTTTTGGTTGCGCCACTTTGAGAATGGACCGTGAGCAGGACACTGCAGCCTGGAGCGCTGCACACCAACGATCATCACTCTGCCGCTCTCTGCTGAAAAGAGTCCATAAATGATGTAATATAGGTAGAAAAAAATTTTCTGGCTCCCCTGGATGTGTAGGATATCCAGCTCCCCCATAATTCGATCCCTGCTCCTGGATGAAAAACCGGACATTTTCATCAATACAAGAACCACGCCGGACGGAGAGTGAAAAGTGGACATGTCCGGGGAAAAGAGGACGTATGGTCACCCTAGTTTAATACAAAGTGGGAGACTACAGATACAGTATTTTGCTCGTGCCCTTGCTGCCCTGGGCCCTTTAGAGTTCGTGGACCCCTGGGCAATTGCCCAGTTGCCCACATGGTTAATCCGGCCTTGAGATGGGGGTGACTGTTAGGCAAACAAATAAGTGATAGTAACTTCTTCAGGGCTCAAATAACCATCTTCCTCTGGTGAGACAACACCCATAATGAGCCTTTTAAAAACCACAAAGGCCAATTTTAGTTTCCTATTTTATGGAAGTATTTTGTGCAATGGGACTTTTTATTTAATTGTTTCATTCCAGGCATTTTCCATCTATTTCGATAAGGGAATCCTCAATATTTTGTCTGTGCTAAGGTTGCAAGATTACACAGATTATATTGTAAGCATTACACTTATAAAATCCCAATAACACACCCAATAGTGTGATCAAAATTCTGTATTAGTTATAACTGAATATCTGTATGAAGTTTGTAATTAATCACTTGATGTGTGTGGGGGTAAGGGTTGGGGGGTCCTGGCTCATCTTGGACATAAGTAAAGGGGTTGGGAGCCACGGATCTAGGTGATAATCCACCTCCAAAATATTTTCATGTTTTAGATAATGAACATTAATTCCTGAAAAGAAGTGGGAAGATGATATATTTAATTCCACCTTCATTTACACATAACATTATCTGTCTGCTTCACTGCTATTTGCATAAGCGAAAATAATAATCCTCATTTTCTAACCCAACATACATTAAGTGTAATATTTCAATACAGATTTAAAAGGTTAACCAGTGTGGCATACTTATGTTAGGTTTAGCATTGAATTCCAACTATGGTAACAAATAATAGTAACACTGACAATATTCACAACTGAGGTATACTTAGTACTAAATAAATAAATAATGGAGAATGACCGCACAAAACACAAATAACAGCTATGGGAGCAAATTCAAGACCCTTCCTAATAAAACCAGTTCAAGAAGTCTAAACTCACTGAAGCATGTTTTATTTTTATTTTCTTAAAGCCCTTCTCAGCAAACAGTATTATGCACTTAAAGTATCTGATGGGTGACTAATTTATAAGGGTGGCCTTTGTGGGTGCCACTGAAAATTCACCACAAATTTAGTAAAGCTCCATGTCATACATCAACTAGACAGGAGATATCAGTTAATTTCACCTTTGCTTTATTCATCAAAAACACAACAGAAAACTAGTTTCAACCCCAGAAAAGATATTCTGTTTCTCAAGTGGAGCCATCATGAGGCAAAAGTGAAACTAAGATGCAAACTCATCATCTGTAGGCTATAGGCTTGTGAGAACTTGTGACTTTTAACATTTGATTTGACTTGTTACAGTAAAAAGGAATCTCCTCCACCTGCCTGTAGACCTTTAGCATTGCTTAACAATTTATTCAGAATAACAGGCGATGTTAGGCTTAAATAGCAGTTGATGATGTTGTTATTGACCTGTAACTTAGAAGACTTCCAAGTTTCATTTCCTCTTTGCATCAAAGCAAAGAGAAGTGAAAAATTCAAACAAGTGGGTGGATTGTGCAGGCGCATTGTACTATAATATTTTTGTTAAATGTACAAGGAACTGGTTTTGTCAAGAGCAAAGTTTATTGTGTAATAACAGTGTTTCTGAAACACTGTTTCAACAACTTCAGACCATGTTTAAAGGTAAGATTATTCAGTTTTAAAAATACTTGTAAAAATGTAAATGTAACAAAATCCCATTTTTGATGTCACAAAATAAAAAGAACAATCTTTACTGCTGAGGTCCAAATCAGGAGGCGTAACGAATAAGTGTTTTTTCACCAGTATAACAAAGTGAAACATGAAAAATGAGAAATAAAATCAGCACTTTTACTTTGTATTTGTCAAACTGAGGTCATTTTAAAAACTAGACATTTTACAAGTTATTTCGACTGAAGGAAAATCGAGTAAGTAAAACTTATTCATAAAGCACCTTTCACAGATAAGGACATCACAAAGCGCCGTACAATAGGTAAAGACTGGATGGAACATTGCACACAAAGAAAAAGTATCACAGTAGGAAATACACTGGGAGAATGTGACATAATAAAAATCAAATAAAACTTTCACTTATGTTGTTGTCATAATGCTTGAGGTTATCAGATGACAGTACCATCCTCATTCGATTCCAGAAAAGAGGTTGAGCCCTTGGGTTTCTCGGCCAGGACAAAACAGACTTCCGGCACAGTCTCTTCCTCAGCTGGAGGTACTTCAGTTTCGGAAACATTTCATCCAGCAGAACCAGTACAGCTGCATCAACCTTTTTATAGAAAGTTTCAGAGTTAATTTGGGGGTTGTGACATCATTCCAGAGAAGTCACATGTAAAACAGAAATAATAGTCTAGAAAAGTCTGTTACCTTCTCATCTAGAAGCCTCTGCTGAACCATGAAGAAAGCTTGGCGGGTCACACCGTTTACCACCTCACATCCATTTGCACCCCTGGACAGTACAAACACCGTCTTCACACTGTTGTGTACAGCATTGTGTAGATTGTCGATACACGAAAGGCCAGGAACCCAGTCTCTTTCTTCCAAGCAAAGTTGAAACCTCCTGTTGCCTGCGTTTTCCAGATTAGCAGTCATCTCAGTGTAAACCCAGTCCCTCACAGCCACATTCCCAGTGTCAAACACTACAAAAGCATCATAGTGATGACCTGAATCAATACCAGGCAACTGGGAGTAGCCTTTGAGTCCTGCCCAGAACACTTGCAAGCAGTACCAGACATCCCAGCCATAGAGATGCTTCAGCAGAGGAAGAATGGTAAATGCCACAGCCAAGAAAGAAGACACAAAGAAGCTTAAGCTTCCATAGATATCCTGGCAGGAACGCTGGTCCATAGATAGTAGAACCTGTCCTTGCTGTGACTCTGGGAATTCACAGCACACGTGTGTTGTTAAATGAGGAATCTTTACTGCAGTGGTGCGCAAGTAATCAGCAAACCAGGATGTATTGCAATCACATTTAAAGGGGTTGTTATCCAGGGTGAGGATCTGAAGGTGGCTGCCATTTATAAAGGGAGCAGGGAGATGCTGGTGGTTCAACTCTTTAATCTGATTGTGACTCAGAAACAAGCACTGCAAGGACTTTGCTTCACTAAAGAAATTATCTGGAATGGAAGTAAGGAGATTGTGACTGAGGTCCAGATGTAAAAACTTGTCCCCAAATTGTATTGCTTCGGCAATCAAATCACTTAGGATGTTATAACTCAGATCCAGGTGGCGTAGGTTGCTAAGAAATGAGATATTTTGCCAGGGGAAATATGTCAGGTAATTGGTGCTGATTCGCAGACTGTTAAGGCTAACTGGGAGGTTACAAAGCACTTCTGGTGATACTGACTGCAAATGATTGTCCGATATGTCAAGGTATTCAAGTTTTGTCAGATTTTGGAAAAAATAAGTGTACTTATTGTTGTCGGAACCCCACATAATGTCAAGATTATTACCATTAAAGTAAAGGTACTTCAAAGAACTGCTGATCAGCCTTGAATCTATCCGTGTCCCAATGCCATTGTTTGCCAGGCTTAGCACCTCTAACTCAGTCAGATTTTGTAGAAACTCAAACCGATGGCCCATGCCCCTCATTTTAAAATGAAAGTCATTGTTACTAACATCTAAGAGCTTCAGTGTTGATCTAAGTTCACTGAAGATATCTTTGTCATAAAAATCAAGCCTATTGTAAGACATATTAAGGAAAATCAAGTTTTTCATTTTGTCAAACAGGCCAGCTCTCAACCTCTGGTTCATGTAATTGAAAGAGAGGTCTAAACAAACCACATTTTCCATTCCTTCAAACACATTTTCCTTAAGAGCTAAAATATCATTTTGAGAAAGGTCAAATGTCAAATAATTTTTACAGTAAATGGATCTTTGGTTCCACAGAGATGGAGTCTTACACACATCTTCCTTTATTTCCTTAACGTTTGGCTCGTTAGATTCCCAGACATCCCTTGTAGAAGTTGGCTCTCTGTCAATTATCATAGCAGGCTTGTCCTGGAAATGATCTATATGCAAGTTATGGTTCTGACAGCCGCCTGGTACCGCAAACCCAAATGATGATTCTGAGCAGCATGGCAGAAAATTAAGCATGTTTTGGGAGAGGACTACGTAAGTGAGAGACGATAACTTCTTCAATGAGGCCAAGTTAAAAGTGATTATGAAATTCATTCTCAGTTCCAGTAGTTGAAGATGCTCAAGTTGGGACAAAACTTCAAAGGTTTTATCGGGAATTGTGTGGAAAAAGTTACCACTCAGCAAAATAGCTTCCAGACCAGATATATTTCCAATATAAGGGGAGAGGACCAGCTCTGGAAAGGTCTTCAGAGGTTCGTAGTTATAGATGAGGCTAATCCAAGTGAGGTTTGTCAACTCTCTGAAAAAAGTGCCGTTTCGTATAGCATATGACAGAAGGTTGTCAGAGATGTCCAATCGTTTTAAATTCTTCAGCGGTGTGAAAAGGCCCTCGGGAAATGTTTTCAGTGAATTCCCTCTTAAGCTGAGGTAGAGCAAGGAGCTGTTTTCACAATAAAAGGAGTTTGGATGCAACTTCAAAGGGAGATTTTGTGGGCATGGAAAGCAGGGTCTTGCTGCATGGTCACATCGCTGACAATTCCACTCCATATTCAGGGACTTGAGGTTAGTCAGGTAGGCAAATGCTTTTTCTGGGACCTCCGTGATTGTATTCTCCCTTAAATCAAGTAGCTCAAGTGAAGGTGGCAACCACTTTGGGACAGCAGTCAAATTGTCATACCCCAGTGTAAGATTTTTAAGCTTAGGGAGCTCTCTGAAAACAGTCTCATTTATGAAAAGGGATTGGTTACAAGGGTTTGCATAAAAGCAGTTTTTGGTAAGTAACAGAACTTCGAGAATTGGGGTATTTAAAGGCACAAAGATATTAAAAATGTGATTATTCTGCAGATCAAGAATTTGTAAACTTTCTGGTAACAAAGGTATGGAGGTGAGGCTATTTCCTGACAGATACAGAGATGTGAGATTTGTCAGGTGTTTGAAGGCATCAGGGTAGATCTCCAGTTTGCATTGGTCTTGATCCAGGGTTCTCAGGTTGCCTGGCTGACAATTGCCCATTAATATCAGAGTGTTTAGGTTTGGGACACCTGTGAAGGCATGGTTGCTCACGAAGTCTATTTTAGTACGACTCAAATCAATCCCAGACACAGTGTTGGACCTTATGAGGGGAATGTGCTTGAGAGGTCTGCTGGAGCAGTCCACAAAGTTGGATTTCTCATCTGCATCACATGGAAAAAAAATGGTACTTAACGTCCTTCCTAATGTTAGAAACTGACTGAAGATGAGGATAATTTCCATCAGAGCCTGAAAGTGGGGGAGGGGGGGTCTGGTTAGTTATTTGTCAATGCATTTGAAAAGCCTAACAAAAGGATTTGACATAATATTAATTTCTGAATAATTAAAGCTTCTGCAGTACCAGCAACTTTCAACAATTGCACATCATGTTCAGAATTTTCTACAGGTAAAAAAGAACGTAATTTCCAATAGTTATTGATGCTACTTACCATAGCAAAAGCAGGATAGAAAAACTTCAACAATTAAAAGAAAAACTGTCTTAAAGTCCAAATGGAGAGAGCACAGGTCCAGATGAGCGTTTAAACGTTTGTGCAGTGAAAAGAAACAGGATCCAAGTACATGCAGAAGTGAAAGTATTTGGTAACGTATCTGGCAGCTTGCTTCAAACCGCGTCACGTACTGTTAGTCGTATTCACAAGGGACATCAGGACCAACTCCACCTCAAGGGTTTATAAAATGCTGCATGTTTTACAAACTGTGACATTTCTGATATAATTACATTGAAAGGTAAGAAAACCCTAATTTTTAGAAGTCCCAGGCTGTTGCTTGTGTTACCACAGAGCCCAGTATTAGTTCCTAACATAGGAGCTTATTTCAGAACATACACCAGCTACTGCTGCAACTAGGAAGTTGTTTTATATGATTTTAAAAATCCTTTCAAATCAGAACCCATGGTCATGGATTCAAAAAGTGGTCTCAAATTCAAACATCGAAAAATCTGTTTATTAAGTACATTAAATCATCAGCAGACAGTTAACATAAAAAGTAAATCATTTAGTAAAAAAAAAAATTACCTTTAGAAAAAACTGACATAAAGGTTTTTTTTTTAGCTTAAAGCTTAAACATTGAACAGCCCTTTTGCCCTTACATTAATTTAAAAACAAAAATGATCATTCTTACCCGTAGATAAATTATGGGTAAAGTGTGTTTTGTTTGGAGAGCGATTACTTTGGCTTTAGACTGGATAAAGAAGAGTCTTGTAATCATTCAGCTCACTCATGTGTATAACTTCAACTCTTACATCACAGATTCAAGTGCTGTATAATCCACAAAGCGATGTTCATAAAACCATCAGATTCTGCGTCCACCTTGGAGAGAGAATGGTTGTTTCCTGGGTACCACAGCAGCCTAAGCAAAACACACATCGGAGTATTACTGACGGAGCAGCAGCTAAATCTGCTCCACTTTTCCTTTGTAAACAAACAAAAAAAAGGTTATGTGTGTGTTTTCTTACCGAACTGGAATCTTTCTTGCCTTCAGAGCCTTGTAGTATTCGATTCCTTGCTTGTTAGGGACGCGCTTGTCATCCTCTCCTAAAGTAAGCAGCACTGGTGTTTTAACCTAAAGGCGAGGTTTCATTTAGTTACGTTTAAAAAAAAGCAGTAAAATCAGAATCATGAAACATGATTTCTTCTGATACCTCAGGGATGTATTTAATGGGGGACTTGTTCAACATCTGCTCCCAAACAGCAGCATCTGGGAGACATTCAGGACTGTATTCATAGCCTGCCTCAACCATGCACCTGCAAATATCATAGGTAGACACTTGTTACAGAGTTTTTTGCATTCAAAGATCAACTTTACTCATATTTTTAGAACATTTGCGGTGGTCTCTAGTAGGAATGAATGCCTTGTAAGACACTTTCTTGGAAGAAAAGCCCAAATGCACCTGTTTGAGGACGTAGAAGTCAGATGGCAAAATTTGGTGTCTTATTTCCTGCTATTTAATGCTAACCTACCACTGACTGTTTGCTTTGCAACGTTGTTGTTTGACCTCCACAAATAACACAACCCTGAAGAGTTCTGCCATGTTGTGGAGTTGCTATTGCTAACAATTAGCTTCTACTAGCCAATTAACTGTCTGCTCTTTCCTGGACACCAAGCAAAAAACAACTTTCCCAGTTTCAAGCAAAGACGGTTGAGTCCATGAATGTTAAGTGAGAGTGCGACATAGATCTGTCAGGCTTTTCGGAACTAAGCGATTTTCCGTGCTGATGCAGAAAGTAGGGGTAAAAGACTATTTTCACGTTCAGCCTGCATGTTAAACTCAGAGTTCCTGAATGTTTAAAAAAATATTAAGTAGAACATGGTTCCTCAGTAAACCTGGTCTTTAAATGATGGATTTCTACAAAAAGAACAGTGGAAGGAATTACCAGTCTGGGATGTCTGTGCTGCCGATCATTGAGGCCAAGTTTATAACAGGGTTGCGGGCCACACAGGCCTTGTAGAACCCTGGGTACTGGCCAATTAGATGACATGCTAGAAACCCCCCATGGGAACCACCAGAAACTGCAACTTTTTCCTTGTCGAAATGGGGACATTTCAGAACCTCTTCAACAGCTTGCTGGTGGAGAAAACCAAAAGGAAGAAAAACGATGACAGAACAGCTGTAATCAACATGGAGTCAAAGAAAAAAACGAAACAAGAAAAACCCAATGAAACAGCTGTTGCTAGAACTCATGAATTACAATAAACTCTGATTGCATATGAAACTAGAATAAAATTACAGTGCAAACTAGGGATGTGTATTGGTGAAATTCAGGTGATACGATATGTATCATGCTACAAGGGATGTGATACGGTATGTATCAAGATACGGGGAGACGATACGATACGTATCACAATACAGGGGAGGCGATACGATATGTATCATGCTACAAGGGATGTGATACGATATGTATCAAGATACAGGGAGACCATATGATACGTACCACGATACAGGGGAGGCGATACGATATGTATCGCTGTACAGGGGAGACGATTCGATATGTATCGCGATAAAGGGGAGATGATAGGATAAATTGATACATTCAACTAGACGATATTAGCAATTGTTTTCGTTCAATAAAGAGTCCAAACTGATCAGTGAAATGTTTAACATGAGGTATCTGAACCATAATAGAGGGATTTACATTTCAATAGTGGAAACTAGGGCAGATACTAGGGCTGCTCGATTATGGCAAAAATAATAATCACGATTATGGTGACTGAAATTGAGATCACGATTATTTAGGACGATTTTTCAATTTATGTTGATTTTATTTGTTTTTATTCAGTCATAAAATTGCTCAGGGCACAATCAGGACAAAAATAAGAAACAAGATGATCACTAAAAGAACTCCTGATTCCCTGTATAAAAGACCAATATACTTATAGCTCATAGTCTATGACCCAAGGGCTGTAGACGTTGGTTTAACTCATTTAAGTCTAACCAGTACAGAACCAAATACCAATATCTTGCAAATACTGACAGCAAGAATTATACAGTGGCATTTATAACAAATAAATGCAAATAAATTGATGTTCACAAAATGTTGCATAACATTTATTGAGTTGTGTCAAGGTGCTGTAGGAGAGTGCACTAGCACCGTGTCCTCAGAGAGATTAGTTATTATTTATCAGCGTGAGGAAGTTATTTCTACCTTATTTACAAACTATTTATTTACAAGTCCATCAGTTAATGTAATAATTGTCCCAACCACAGCTGCACCCCCCACCCCCCAACCCGGTCTCACAGCAATCAGGGGCAAGCTGCACGTGTGTTTAGCGCGCCGCACGCGCACATTTAGCTGTTTTTAGCGGCTCAGGAGTCCGCAGGTGCGGTGTGTGTGTCACTCACTCTGGTTACTCCAACAGGGAGCAGGGCGGCTCCGAGAGCTGTCTTTAGCGACCGACACATCACTACATCATTCCCTTTCCTAATGTCCTGAAGAACGGTCTGGAGCGCAGGCGGAGTGTTTAGCTAACCTGCAGGAAACGTCGACGATAGTTATCCAGAAAGTAGCTAAGGGTTACCAGAGATGTTTCTGAGGTGTTCGCTAGGTACTTTTAGGATTAAAAAGTCAAGAAGGGGGTCTGAAAAGCTGTTAGAAATAGCGTCAAAGTCGCTAAGTTGGCAACACTGTGGAGGAGCGCTTCATTTGCAACTCAGGGCAGCGCAAGCGGGAGGAGCAAATAATCAGCTTGTTTTGTTTTTTATAATCGTTCAAAACTCAGATCGTAATCGTGATTAAAATTCGATTAATTGAGCAGCCCTAGCAGATACCGATACCAGCATCGGTAAAAGTGAACTGATTTCAGGAACCGATACCAATGCAGTTGCCTGAAAGTGGCTTCACTGTAACTTGTCATTTCTATTCACCTAATATTTTAGTTTTGTGATCATTTCTATTAATGTAAATATTTTTTTATCTACCTCACAGTCTTTTTCTGTTGAAAGCTGAGAAGAAAATCAAACCTGCATTCCAATTCATTGCATTATTTTGCGTGGTAGAAGTATCAGTATCGGTAATCGGTATCAGCGAGTACTCAGATCCAAGTATCGGTGTCTTATTGGTTTGGGAAAAAGTGGTATCGTTGCATCCCTAGTGGAAACAAAACCCATTGCACACTGATGCCAACTTGCGATCGGCGTTTGAATTGCACCAAAAGAAACACAAGTGTTTGCATGAAAATTCTTCCAAAAACTCGATACACATCTTTTGAATATTGATATATTATCACAGGAAAATAATATCACGATATATTGCCACATCGATATTTTCTTACATCACTAGTGCAAACTGCAAATAGATTCAAAAATGTTCAAACTAGAACCCAGATTTGAAAATATTTAGTTGGCATTGGTTTTGTTCATACCTGAACGTCTCTGACATCCTGGGTACCAACATTCCCACACAAAGACAGAATGCTGTCCTGGCCGTAACCAGTAGAGCCACGGTAGTTCACTAAAGTTATAAAGGAACACACAATGTTAACAGGTACTAACACCTGAATAAGCACTGGCGTTATATCATATGGTTATGTAAGTGGACACGTGTAGGAGCTAAACCAGATCTTGAAACCGAAGGAAAACAAAATCCAGTTTGTCCTTCATCGGGTTACAAAATTACCTTATGACATTGATGTATGCAAATGAAACAGAATTAAATGTAATCTACTAATAAAATCTACCTTAACCAGAGAATTCATCAGCTTAAGAAAAGGGATGCAAATGTCTCCTTCCTTTTATGCAGCTGTATAAAGTTACAGGAGCATTACTGTGGTGCTTTTCAAAGAGGAACAAATGTGAACACAATGCATCACAGATTTTATATAAGGTAGAAAACAAAGAAGGATCAGAAGGATGTTCCACTTCTCAAAATATTTTATCACGTCTCCTCTAACCTTTAGGTTTCTATTATGGGAACATTTAATAACTGGTTAAAAAGGGGGAAGAAAACAAAGTTCAACAAACTATTTTAACATGTGAACTTTTTACTGTTTTACACAAAAGTACTCAAAAGAATACTCAAATTTAACTTCCAAAAGGAAACAGATTAAATAAATATACGTTTTATTAATTAAGATAATTTAGTTTTAGTTTTCTGCTATAATGAAGAAACTCTAGACTAAAAGAAACGTGTTTGAAGCAGCTCAAGTTCAAATAATTATTAAATCTAAGCACAAGTGTTCATGAAGTAGACCTCCATGTTCTCTTACCCAGTAATACAGCAAAGCCCATTTTGCACAGCACAGAGTAGGACAGGAGCCAATCAGCAACGATCACAGAGTGAGGACCGCCTGGTGGAAGAAACACGCTGGGAGTTAATCAAACTGCAACATCAAAAAATTATAAGCATAAATTAAACAGATGTAAAATATATTTTAATGTCAAATAACTATAAGCTCTGTTACAACACACTCATCTTTCTTTAAATGATGTAGGGACAAAAGGCACCATCGTCATAGCAACCACAGCCACTTTCATCACGAGTTAAATTTAACTGAACAGATCCAACCAGGCCTAATAGCTCAGCCTGATTACTTTATGTTCATGTGTTTGGTTGATGCTTTTATTAAAAAGTTACTTACGAAGGAGAAAATAACGATTGATGGTAATGGAGTACGGGAAAAGAAGTGTGTTTACATGTTTGTGTCACAACATTAAGATGGTAAACCTATAATTACTTATATTTATTTAATTTAGACCAGATGACTAACAACAGATGAACAAGAGTCACAAACCATGAGGGGTGACGATCAGAGGCCGCTTCACATTTTCCTTTAACTCCTTCGGTTTAATCAGCAAAGCTTCAAAATCAAGGCCCGCTGGAACACAGAAACGTTTGTTATTATGGTTAATATCTGACGCTTTGCATTTCATATGATTAAAATATGACCTAATCCTTATCCATCTAAAGTCTCCTTTTGCATGTTGGGACTCAGAAGATAATGTGAATATGTTTCTGCTCTAATGATGTTGGTCGATTTGATTTAACTCAGCTCATGTGCACGTATAGTCAGGGTTTGTAAAACCGAATACCCTCCCCGCCCATCTAGCGCATGTAGCACATTCATGGGCACACCAAGCCTGTAGGCGGCAGTGGTTTCCCAAATCTTCGACATCTTTGGCGAAAAGCATTTTTTGGAATAACTACGCGTTGGACAATAATCGTCCTTTAGGTTGTCCTAAGCCTGTCCTAAGCCTGTGGTCTTCTTGAGCACTTATTGAACTTGTAAAAACAGGTAAGCAAGCGTAAAAACAAGTCACACACGTGTTGTCGGAGCATTTTTGTTGCAGGCAGTGACATTGCAAAACCTAACATCTCGGTTAGCTCTGTCTACAAGCACTGGAGAGTGCACAAATCTCCACTTACATTTGTTTTTGACGATGCCTGTCGTTGCTTCGTGTGGATGACAGGCCAAACAGTAGAAAATGATTTTTGTACGACACATGGCTACGAGTGTACAGGCCTCTGAATCTCGAGGTTAAGAGAACTAATTCATGTATAGGTCCTTCTCAAAAAATGTTCATATTGTGATAAAGTTCATTATTGTCTGTAATGTACTGATAAACATTAGACTTTCATATATATTAGATTCATTACACACAACTGTAGTAGTTCAAGCCTTTTATTGTTTCTAATATTGATGATTTTGGCTTACAGCTCATGAGAACCCAAAATTCCTATCTAAAAAAATTAGCATATTTCATCCGACCAATAAAAGAAAAGTGTTTTTAATACAAAAAAGTCAACCTTCCAATAATTATGTTCAGTTATGCACTCAATACTTGGTCGGGAATCCTTTTGCAGAAATGACTGCTTCAATGCGGCGTGGCATGGAGGCAATCAGCCTGTGGCACTGCTGAGGTGTTATGGAGGCCCAGGATGCTTCGATAGTGGCCTTAAGCTCATCCAGAGTGTTGGGTCTTGCGTCTCTCAACGTTCTCTTCACAAAATCCCACAGATTCTCTGTGGGGTTCAGGTCAGGAGATTAGGCAGGCCAATTGAGCACAGTAATACCATGGTCAGTAAACCATTTACCAGTGGTTTTGGCTTTGTGAGCAGGTGCCAGGTTGTGCTAAAAAATGAAATCTTCATCTCCATAAAGCTTTTCAGTAGATGGAAGCATGAAGTGCTCCAAAATCTCCTGATAGCTAGCTGCATTGACCCTGCCCTTGATAAAACACAGTGGACCAACACCAGCAGCTGACATGGCACCCCAGACCATCACTGACTGTGGCTACTTGACACTGGACTTCAGGCATTTAGGCATTTCCCTCTGCCCAGTCTTCCTCCAGACTCTGGCACCTTGATTTCCGAATGACATGCAAAATTTTTCATCTGAAAAAAAAAAAAAAAAGTACTTTGGACCACTGAGCAACAGTCCAGTGCTGCTTCTCTGTAGCCCAGGTCAGGCACTTCTGCCGCTGTTTCTGGTTCAAAAGTGGCTTGACCCGGGGAATGCGGCACCTGTAGCTCATTTCTTGCACACGCCTGTTATGGCTCAGAGCCATTTGGGTTTTTCCCAGTGTGTGTGTGTGTGAGAGGAGATGCAGCACCTGGCTCCAATCTCACTAGATTGCCTCCCGGTTATATTCTCTCAGCTGATCCTGATGACCAGCAGCAGGCCAGCAGCATAAAAGTCAGCCAGCCCTCAGTTCAGGGAGCTGCAGGCCAGGGAGGTTCTCTCTGGTCTGTTGTCTCCTCAGCAGCTTTTGGTTTTGTTAAGTTTTATGTAACAACTTTGGTGGGAGCTTAAAACTCTCTGTGTTTAACCGTTCGCCTTTTTTAGGGGTAAAGGGCACTTTACCCCTTCACTTGCTTTTATTAAGACATCACTCGGAAATTAAATTATGTGATGGTTTTTCGTGGTTTTTGTATTAATTTGGTCAATATGAGAGTTTAGTTGTTACTCGTTTCGCGTTGCTGCTGATGTGTCTTGTTAATCTGTGTTTTGTGTTTATATTTATGTAAATAAATGTTGTTTTTGTTACTTTTAACACGAGAACATGCGTCCTCATTGTTACCCCAGGCCCCCTAGACAGCCTGGACCGTAACAACGCCTGTACATGGTGGCTCTGGATGTTTCCACTCCAGACTCAGTCCATTGATTCAGCAGGTCCCCCAAGGTCTGGAATCGGTCCTTCTCCACAATCTTCCCCAGGGTCCGGTCACCTCTTCCCGTTGTGCAGCGTTTTCTGCCACACTTTTTACTTCCCACAGACTTCCCACTGAGGTGCCTTGATGCAGCACTCTGGGAACAGCCTATTCGTTCAGAAATTTCTTTCTGTGTTACCCTCTTGCTTGAGGGTGTCAATGATGGCCTTCTGGAAAAAGTCAGGTCGGTAGTCTTACCCATGATTGCGGTTTTGAGTAATGAACCAGGCTGGGAGTTTTTAAAAGCCTCAGGAATCTTTTGCAGGTGTTTAGAGTTAATTAGTTGATTCAGATGATTAGGTTAATAGCTCTTTTAGAGAACCTTTTCATGATATGCTAATTTTTTTGGATAGGAATTTTGGGTTTTCATGAGCTGTAAGCCAAAATCATCAATATTAGAAACAATAAAAGGCTTGAACTACTTCAGTTGTGTGTAATGCATCTAATATATACTGTACGAAAGTCTAATGTTTATCAGTACATTACAGACAATAATGAACTTTATCATAATATGCTACTTTTTTGAGAAGGACCTGTATATACTTGTCCAAAAAAACACAGCGAAGGCAAAAACTATATGTAGCTTCTAACTATTACACTTTTATTTTTGTAGACAGGTTTCGGCTAACGCTGTAGCCTTCCTCAGAGCACTGCCGATGTCGGTGGCGTTACTTCATCAGCAGTGCTCTGAGGAAGGCTACAGCGTTAGCCGAAAAAAGTTAAAAACAAATCTTCTACTATGCCGTGTTTAAAAAGATATTACTCTAAAAACACCTGAGTGAATAATAATTTACAATCTTACGGTATTGGCTGTTGTCTTGCTCTGAGGCAGGGGTCAAAGTCAGGATTTTCCAGTCAATATCTGGTAAGGTCTGGGAATCTTCCAGAGTGATCCAGACCACTTCCTCCTGAGTGTCTCTGCCTGGAAGGAAACCCACCCTCTGCACACAAAAACATCCACCTCAGTGACAGAAGGTCCTCCATCACATGAAGTGCATTTTTGTGCTCCAGTCTATTTTCTGTGAATCAAATAAAACTGTTTTCTCATTGACAGCAACAGTCCTACCAGACTAGGAGGGTAGTTAGGCGATGAGCAGCTGACCACCATTAGATCTCTTTCCATGTTCAGCAAGCACCAGTTTCCCATTTCAGACTCTATGAACAAATATAATAGGACAATGTAGTAAACGGTAGTAATCGCAGTAATACTTTAGAGTGTACAGAGACTAACTTGAAGTCAGATTGGTGATGCTGCCTGTGCTCATATCCACCATTAAGAGATCCTGTAGCACAAACATGGATGAGCAGAAGGAAATGTTTTTAAAGGATCTGATTGGTCTACTTCCTCCTGTCTGGTTTAACCTTGCGACTGCGCTGAGGAGAAGCAACAATCACATGCTGGCTATCAGCTGACCAGCACTGAGGTGACAGCTGAGTGCTGTAGATGCCAGTGAAGCCATCTGTATCAGCCCAAAACACAAAAAGACACAATTTTGTAAATGCAAGCCTCAAAGAAGAAAAAGCTGAGTTTAAAACTGCTTCCTCACCATCTCTGGGTCGACTAACGATGTCCACCACCACAGAGGTCTTCTTAGTGTACCAGTCGTACTGAAAATAAAGCATCAAACGTCTATTTATGGTTGTGTACGTGTATTTAACTGTTGAGAGAAGATAACTGTTAAATAAATGATGCATTTGTGTTCCTTCTCACCATACAGAGCTTGTTGCACTGCATGTGCGGTCCATACACAGCACATTCCAGATAGACAATCCGGCAGTGATCTGGGCTCAGTCTGGGGGAAGAAACTGAACTGGTTCCTGAAGAAAGTTGCTCTATTGAAGAAAACAATCACATACAAACACATGCATAATAAAGTCTGCATTCATGACTAAAATCATAATAAAACATAACAGAAATTTTCAAGCAGACCTAAAGCACAGTTTGATCTAATTAAAAGTTAAGCATTGTTGTAGGAACTAATTGTTTTCCAACATTCCGACTCACAGTTTGAAGCTGCAGAGGCTCCAGACCTAAACAATAAGTGTCTGATATGTGCAAACACAGTTAACAAGTCATTTACAAAATAGTCTTGTCAAAACTGTAACTAATTCCAAAATACATATGACTAATGTGTGATCAGTGTCCAACAGGCACAGCGGTGTGTGACTGGAAAAGGTTTTAAAGTTAACGTGATTATAAATGTTCTACAAGACGACCATTCGGTGCTTCATGACCCCCAGCAGGGTCCAAACCTCAACTTTAGGAACCAATTATTAAATGCATCAAGTTTCTAATATAATCATCTGGTGTTTGAACACTTACTTTTTATAAAAGTTTAGGACTTTCTTTTTTTAAAAGTGCTTTTGCATGTATTACACCCTCTGGAGGAGGATCTAGGAACTACAGGGAGCAAGATCCACTTTTTATTATTATGCCATGGTTCAGGCTGTAAGAGTAAACACACACATGTAGATAAATACTCATCATAGAGTCTTTTAACTAGTTTGATTAAAGGGTTACTAGGCAGTTTTGCTTGCTTTTAGCACCCCCCTAGTGTCCGTTATTAACTCTAAGGATCATTTTAGCACACACTGGCTCAAGAAAAATTATTTCATTGGTAAATGGCCTGTAATTGATATAGCACCTTCTAGAGTATTGGAACTCCCCAAGGCACTTTACAACACAATCAGTCATTCACCCATTCACACATACATTCACACCCTGCTGATGATGAGCTACATTGTAGCCACAGCTACCCTAGAGCTCACTGACATAGGCGTCACCGGTCCCTCCGACCACCACCAGCAGGCAAGGTGGGTTAAGTGTCTTGCCCAAGGACACAACGACTGCGACAGACTGAGCGGGAATTGAACCTGCAACCTTCTTTGTGGTGCCTTGGTCTGCCTGAGTGTTCGCGGCTCCCGGGTCAGGAGGTTTAAGATTTTTGGAGTCTGCCTGATTAATCCCGATGGCTGCCTGGTGGGATCTGAGTCCCTGGGCTCTGCTGGGTTCCCGGCGGGGCTGGTTGCACCTGGGTCCTGGGTCGCTGGGTTCCGGCTTGTGGGTGGGAGGCTGCGGGCGGGCCTGCGGGCTTGCCGCTGATATCCCCTGGGACTCTGCCGGCTGATGATTGTGACCCCAGGGGCAATCTTCTGTGCCTCTTGAGGGGGGGGGGGGGGGGGGGATTTTCTGGTCGCAGTCTCCCTGGGGTCCATGCGCTCTGGGGCAGTTCCTGGATCTCTGAGACTTGGAGCTCCTTCCATCTCCTTACGCATCTTTGGGGGGCAGATCTGTGGCCCCTCACACTCTATTGAACGCTCCTATAGAGAAACCTTACATAAACAAGCGTGTGCACACACACAGGTGCTCACATGATGCTCTCATAAGTATGGACTTGGGCATTTTCAACACATGTCTTAAGGCTGTGGTTGGCAATAAATGCACTGTGACTTATTATCGTGTGATTGTTCAGTAAAACAATGTTCATTTTATATTTCCTCATCAGGTTGATGCAGTGATAGCTTGCTCCTGTTGTAATGTTGTGTGTCCCTTTTCTGCAGGTCTAGAAGCAGACTCTTGTTCATCATTGATTGTTTATTTTTTTGGACCCCCCCTTGTTTCTGCCATTCTCTTTCAGCTCTGTCTCCTTGTCTAGTCGGAATTACAAAGCATTCAAAAAAACAATAACAATATAGTTTTAAGTACCAGGTGTGACGTGATTATAAGCAGAAGCTTTGATGTTCCACCTGAGAGTAAATCTGTAGGGCTTGTCACCAGCATTCAGACATCAATTCTGTTTGCTTCACAGCCAGACAGGACACGGAGAAAAAAAAACAAAAAAACAAAACAAAACACTATTAAAAATGAAAAATAATTAAACAAAAACTTGCAACCTTCCAGTTACGGGGCGAGCACTTAACTCCTGTGCCAGCATTGCCTCTACATTTAACTAATTCATTGCCAGCCATTTCCTGATCAGAAGAGCCCTTCACTGCCAGCGTTTTTCAGCATTTTTACTGCTTTTTAAAGAGTCACAGAACGATGCACGCTAGGATGATGTCGATGCCAAAACTACCAAAACAAGGAGTAGACTGACCTCTTACATCAGGAAACATCTGCCCGTTTGGAGCGTTATCCATTCTTTCATAATCCGTTGTTGAATTGTGATCGGCAGAAGCTTTTCCGGTTCACACCTCACCTTTTTTACAGCAGTGGCCCAAAACGATCTCCTAACACATGGACTTTCTGCTTCCTGATCACGTGATGTGTGACGTATGCGGCTGAAGATCAGCTTTAGAGCTGGGATGTTTGTTCTCACGATGCAGGGGCTCGTTCCGACGCCCACACAGTAAAAAAAAAGTGCAAATGACGACTTTAGTCGTCATTGGTAGTGAACGGTTGGATTTAAAATGAAGACTTTTGTTGTCAATAGCAGTAAATGGGTTAAAAAAAAGTAAAAAAAATTGGATAGTATCCCTTTAAGCATTTTTTTTGCATCCAAACATACTTATAAGACTGGACTAAACCTCACAAGTGCCCCTGATGTCAGGTGGTTAGTAAAGATTTGTGTCACAAACATGCTCTACGTCTAAGCTGAACAGCATAAGCCCCTCAGAAGCAGCCATTACTCACCGCATTTTCCACCAGTGAGATCCACATAAAACAGAGACGACCTGACAAAGAACATTGGAACATGAGTTTTCTAAAGCACGAGCCTACAAGGAAGCTGTTGGAACTTGTGAAAAGGAGGGTAAAAGCACCTTCGATTGGGGCTGTACTTGATGCCAAGTCTGAAGGGTTCGTGCCACCACCCAACAAAAACCACACCTGTGTCACCAGGTGCCCAAAAAGCCTGCAGAGATAAACATAAAACACCTGAATTATTAGGTTTACTGGGGTATCGGCACACAAGAAGTCCACAGATATTAAAACAAACCTGTCCAGGAGAGATATTTTCTGGAACTCCTTCCAGCACAGAAACAATGCCACCTTCAATGTCTAAAACACAAAGCACTGGATGGCTCTTATTCACAAAGGTCTCGCCCCAGTCCTCGTGGTAGACAAACTGCTCCCCCTGCAGGGGTACAATTAAAACATCTCAATTATGGATCTTAATGTGAAATGAATTTAAAATTCTAAATGCTTTCTAGTAATTAAACAGCAATCACTTTCACAGTCTCTTTTTTCTCCACCCTGGTCGCCTCCTCCTCATCTTCAATTGAGGACAACTCTGGTGGCTCTGTCTACAAGGAGGAAAAGGAGGAAGAAAAACCAGCAGGATGTGAGTAATTTCTGTTTGGTTGCATAACGTCATTAAAACCAGATAAACACCTAAAGTAGGGATGCAACGATACCACTTTTTTCTAAACCAATACAATACCGATACTTGGATCTGACTACTTGCCGATACCGATTGCCGATACTGATACTTCTACCACACAAAAAAATGCAATGAATTGGAATACAGGTTTTATTTTCTTCTCTGCTTTCAATAGGAAAAGACTGTGAGGTAAATAAAAAAATGTGTTAATATAAATGATCACAAAACTAAAATAGTAGGTGAACAGAAATGACAAGTTACAGTGAAGTCATTTTCAAGCAACTGCATTGGTATCACTTACTGGTATCTGTTAACTTTTACCGATACCAGTACCGGTGCATCCCTAACCTAAAGATAAAATCATGCTTCGTTGAATGTTTTGCTGCAGTATGGGAAGTGCTGTTGAGGAATGTTGCTCATGAAACGAATAGCAAAATATTTGAATTGGACTCAAAAAGAAACCAACCAGTTTGCCACGTTTCTCTTGACGGCATGAAACAATATTTTAAATGCATTATATCAGACTGGTCAGTGAGTTTTAGATGGCAGTTTGACACCAGGGTAAAAATACATTTTGAACATTTTTTTTAAATAAAATACAAAACACATACCATAGTTAATCCTAACTGGTACTGTAAAATATAGCAATTGCTGGTTTGCATTTTACATTTGCTGTGTCAGTCAGGGTAAATTCTGTGTCTCCCTCCTCCCTCGCATCAAATCAGAAAATCCCACCTGGAAGAACGATTCGGTCTTTGGTCTCTTTTTTTCTGCCACATACAAGAGATGGGTCTCAGAGTGAGACCAAACCAAGGAGCCAAACTGATCTGAGGATAGAAAACAGCATAATTAACACAGGGAGATGTAGGGGTGACTTTGGGAATGAATGAATGTGTGCTGTCCCTGTGGAGGACTTACCGTCTTCATACACTTTTCCATGCTTTTTTAAAGCAGTCAAGTTGATGCTCTTCATTTTTATGTTTTTACTCCAGATCTGAAATGTCATGAGAAATGTCAAAGAGAATCGGTTTAAAATTTAAGCAATCAAAAGGTTATGAGCATGCACAAAAACGGGATAAAAGCCACAAAAAAGGCACTAAAACAACATGAATCCCAGAGCACCACACACCTCCAGAAACTGCGTCTCCTCTCCTTTGACTGTGAATTCTCTGACAACTGCTTTCATCTCACCAGAAGGAGAATCCTTACTCAGTATTCTGACATAAGAAACACAGTATATACTTCAGTTTGCTCCGATTTAAGTGGAAAACTGTCTTTTAGTTCTATAAAAGACCGTTATACGTACTCTCCTTTGATTTCAGTGCAGTTTCCCGAGGCTCCAGAGAAAACCACCGACTTGTCATCGTGGAAAACAATGTACTGCCTGCAAAACTTGACATTCTCATTTCTCTCCAGATCCCGCTGACTCCATTCTGTACGTAAAAGTAAACACATACTACAAACATAAAGATCATGGAGGAATCTGAAGATTTTAGAGGAACAGAAAAGTATTTGTACCTGTGTAAATGTTGCTGTATTTGCCTCCATACTGAGAGGTGATGACAGGTCCAACATCTGCTCTGCTCAGAGAAGGGAAGAGGCTCAGCTCTCTGTAGAGTTTGGCAATTTCCTCCGGTTTGGTGATCACCTGACAGACAGCAGAAGAATAACTGCGAGTCAGTGAAACGAGTCGGCTAAGCGAACAATGACCTATTCATCTCCTAGCTAAGCAGCTAACTAAGTATGGAGGTGGTTAAGTAAAAGGTAAGGACATGAACAGAGCTCGGTTCTTCAGAAATACTAATTGTCTGGTTAGTTATGCGATGTGATCAAGTAATAACAGAACTAGCAAGTGATTAGTAGCGTACTGCTGATAGAGATTTGGCTGAACCGACCTGGAACTTCCTGTTGGAAACTAATAATTAACACCGTGCATGTTTGCTAGCTTGACTTGAAAGCTGTTCTAGATTTACAGATAAAACGTTTGTCTTGTGATATTTATACTATGTCAGTCAGTAACAGTTACCTGTAACTCCATAACAGGGATGCTGTCTGCCGCTAGCCTAATCCAGTCAATCCTGTCAGTAAAAATTGAGGAAACATGGAAAAATGTGTTGCGCATGCGTACTGTCAATACTCCCGTCGTGCGTCTTATAGAAATACAGCACCTAGATCGATTTTCAAATGAGATTTTCATAGTTTTCAGCTTCTACATAACTTCTTTCTGTGCTTTAGTTGCTAATACGCAGAAACAAGTGGTCATTTTTTTAAAATTTAAGATTACTTTCATTTTTATTCATTACATAATTGATCTTATAAAACAAATGCAAGTGTTATCATAGTAATGGCGGCCTTACAGTTGAAACCGTTAAGACACCAGTCTAATGCTTGTCAATTTAGTATGATTTTCTCCAAAAGTCCAGGATAAAGCAGAGTATTCTTCTTTTTCATTAGTTAATTAAGATGTTTGCGTTATTTGCTGTTTACTAATGTATATAATAATGCTTTAAACGTGAGGCAAGTGCGTCACATTCACATAAGCGTCTTCAACATAAACCTTAATTTAGAATGGGATACAGAGCTTCATCATTTACATACAAGTACAAACAAATAGCCACAAGTTTTTTGTACCGGTATTTGTATTGGTTTTTTTTTACGACCAGGTGAACAGTACGCCCCCTCATCTGGAATAAAAAGTGTGTGCGTGTGTAAGAGTTGGATTGCAAAAGAAAATTGGAGTATTTGTAATTGTTTTGCATTTATAGAATAAGTGAAAAAAAAACTAAATTTCAAATCCTGAAGTGATTTTCACCTTGAATGTAAATGTTATGGTTGTTTAGGCAAACGTTGTCCCAGCTTATTCTGGTACCAGCTGGAGGTGGAGGAGGTTCACACAGAGCCAAGATGGCTGACTTTGAGGAGCCGCTGTCAGATGAAGAAAAGGTTTGAAGTGTTTACTATCGTTTTTATATTGTAGTATCTGTGTTTTATGTGTATGTGCATCGAATAATATCCACTAAATAAATAATGTCAGGTTTTATTTATCTACAGAAACGATAAACGTGTGGTCTGAGCTAGCATTGCTTGAACTAGCCCATGCTAGTGAAGCTTCTAGCTAGCAGCGGTATCAAATGTTGGACAGCTTTAATCACCGGAAGCTTTGGAAACTCTTGTAGTTTAGTAGAAGAATTTAGTCTTGTTTTTAATAAGCCGTATTTGAATATTCACTATAAAATTACATAAGGTGGAAGGTGTCTCCCTTTAAAAACGTCAGCTAACTAGCAGCCACTGTTAGTTTGTTTCAGATTTCTGGGTCAAACATATTCAGTTGCTAGTGCCTGACACCAGTTTATGCGCCTTTTAGATATATAGTGTCGCTTTACATGAAACCAGAGGCAGCAGGGCTCAACACCAGTAGGGGGAAGTTCACAAACCAGGAATATGATATTGGACAGCCTTCCTGCTCCGCTGGATAAAGAGACAAAAACCACCTCATTACCAAAGAGGTGGTTTTAAAACTTGAAACAGGTCAAGTGACATTCCTCCAGATAAAACCAGGAGCCTCGCTGGTCTTTGGGCCTCACAAGGGGGAAGTAGATGGATAGTTGACACATCTGCTTCTCGTTTAGTGTCTGTTCTGTGGAAATTGCATATTTAAAATTGTATTTTCTGTAGCAGTTTATTCTATTTTATTAAATACAAAAGTAGGTGAGTCACACTCATTATGGTCAAACCCACTCTTGATTATTTAAACAAATACTAGTGGTTTTATACAGTTCATCTGAGTTTTTTAAAGCACACAGTTGTCTTTATTATTGTGTTTGTTCTTTAACTATATTAAATTTACAGATCTGCAGGAGTAAATAAACCACAATATTTTAAATGCTGTTGAAAAACTTTCATTTGACCAACTGTACATTAGCTATTTACCAAATCCGGGACTGACATCCTATTCTTTTTTTATCATCACATTTTGCAATCAAGTGTTTTTAGTGATCACAGTAAAGAGAGATGGGTCATTTTTCAGGGATTGACACTTAGAGGAAACAATCAAAACTTCATATCAAGTCTTTACCTAAACGGACTGCAGCTCTACATGCTAAACACCAGCCATGGATTTTGTTGTTTCTATCATGACTACATATGAGTTGCATTTAACTTGTTTCTCAGGTCCGTATTGCAGCCAACTTTGTGACCCATGCTCCTCCTGGAGAGTTTAACGAGGTCTTTAATGGTAAGATGTGGTGATTATATTTGATCAGTCTTTAAGATGAATATTCCAGCAATTCTGAGTGTTGGTCTAAAGCTGCATTTGACTGTATTTATCCCACTAAATGCATTGAATGTAATCTAAATAACTTTTGATCATTAGTAGTGAATATCTGAATCCCAGGATGTCTGGAAGCCAACTTTAGGATTGCGTCTTTGTCAGAGTTGATGTTACACATTAACTCACATTAAGGGCCAGACTCAGTTGGCAAATATAGTAGAATTGAATGCTGTATTTGCTACCACCCCACTGATGGCTGTAATTGAGAGGTAGCTAATGGGCTTCTTGTTTTCCAGTCCATTTTGTGACAGCATCCATGTAGATGCATTCACTCAGTGTCCTGGTAATCAGTCAGAAAACGCCTCGATCAGGACTTTAATCAGAACATTTCTTGTTAAAAAAAGAGTCTATGATGGTGAAATAATGTGATAATTATATTGTATACATTTTTTTTTATTATTTTACAAACAAGATTTCTTTGTCCAACTAGATGTGCGGCTGCTTCTCAATAATGACAACCTTCTCAGAGAAGAGGCTTCTCAGTAAGTAATATTTGACTTGTATCAGAAGTACAAATTGTATGTCACCCAACATCCTTCTCAGGCAATTAAAATGAATAATGCACGTCTCACAGAGTGTTGATTGTAAGACTTAGTTTTAAAACATGTTCTGAATGCTTAGTTTCCTTGTTTAACTGTTTTTTCTTTAATGTGTGTTCCCAGCTCCTTTGCCCAGTACAACATGGATCAGTTCACTCCTGCCAAAGTAGAGGGATATGATGAACCAGTAAGTTTCCTTTTTAAATCCCATTTGGGAAAGGCAAGGCTGTAAAATAAGATGTTTCAGTCTATTTTGTCTCTTCTTTTCAGGTCCTGATCACAGAGCACGGTGACCTGGGTCAAGGACGCTTCCTGGACCCCCGTAATCATTTATCCTTCCGGTTTGACCACTTAAGGAAAGACGTCAGTGATGTGCAGCCTTATGAGGGAGACGGGGCTTTGAGGAGCTGGAGAGATGCATGTGATACTGCCCTTAGTGCCTACGTCAAAGAGCACTACCCTACAGGAGTCTGTACGGTACGACACACACACACGCACGCACACACACACGCACGCACACACACACTCACACTCTCACACACACACACACACACACACACACACACACACACACACACACACACACACATAAGGAGATTTGCATCCCTTACCGCATCCTAATGTTTATAAAATCTGCATTACAGGTATATGAGAAAACGGTTGATGGTCAGCAGACGGTTATCGCCTGCATTGAGGGGCATCAGTTTCAGCCGAAAAACTTCTGGTAATTTTTCATCAAATAGTTGTTTAAAATCATATCTGAAAATAAATAAATAAACATGTTTATTGCTGAAAAACTGGAATGGAGATAATTTATTTTAGTCTCATTGGGTTCCTGCCTGATTATAATAGGTTTCTGTTTTCTCCAAAGGAACGGTCGCTGTAGGTCAGAGTGGAAACTCACCCTTGGTCAGTCCACTGCCCATGTGGTTGGAGTTTTGAAAATCCAGGTTAGTGCTGACACACTTGAAACAAGTAAAATTACTGACCTTTAACTCATTCACTGCCAGCGTTTCTCACCGTTTTTACTGTTTTTTTAAGAGTCACAGAACGTTGCGCGCTAGGATGATGTCGACGCCAAAACTACCAAAACAAAGCGGAGACTCACCTCTTGCATCAGGAAGAATCTGCGTGTTTCGAGCATTATCTGTTCTTTCATAATCCGTTGTCGAATTGTGATCGGCAGAAGCTTTTCCGGTTCACGCATCACCTTTTTTACAGCAACGGCCCAAAACGATCTCCTAACACATGGATTTTCTGCTTCCTGATCACGTGATGTGTGACGTACGCGGATTAAGATCGGCTTTAGAGCTGAGATGTTTGTTCTCACGGTGCGGGGGCTCGTTCCGACGCCCACACAGTAAAAAGATGCAAATGACGACTTTAGTTGTCAATGACAGTTAATGAGTTAATGAGATCTATTCAGTTTTAACATTCAAAAAGGACCCATGAGGGTAACATAAATCTGTGCAAAGGACCATTTCTTTTTCTTCTAAATGTGTAAGTCAGTGATTTAAACACCATTTTATTGTTTTAGGGAGTGTAGCATTTGTTATTGTTTGAAACTAACCCCGGCTTTCCACAGGAGCCGTCAGCAGCACGTTACTGCAGCAGCACGTCATAGCTGCTGATAGGAACCGCTGTGGTCAACAGAACCTTTTCCACTGGAGCCGTCAGCAGCCGTCAGCAGCGCGAGTCGGCCGCGTCTCAGGAGCAGCATGTCGCGGCCTTTACGCGCCGGTTCTATTTTCTATGCGCGACACCTCTGAAACGGGTCAAGTTCGACATTTTTGGGGAAGGAAAGACAGGAAATCGGACGCGGAAATGGAGAGAAGCTCACGAGATTTTCAGAAGAAAGAACGTACTGTCTTCCGGTTGCTTTACTTTAAAAAAGGTTACTAACTGTGCGTCCCCGTGAGAAGTTATCACCTAGCTAGCGGTCTCCTTTGTTTTTCAGGTCTGTATTGGCGATTATAAAACGGACAGAACATAAAACACAAACCATGTTGTAGTTTTTTCCTGCTTGTTGTTGTGTTTACTGACGAAGTCACTCGTGTGACTTCGTGCTCTGTCGGTGACAGCTGCTCCCCTGCTGCTTCGCGTCTCGTGGGAAGGGCCAAGCAGCAGCTAGACGTGCTGCTGCAGTAACGTGCTGCTGACGGCTCCCGTGGAAACCCAGGGTAAGATTCAACCTCGTCAGACTTCACTGGTTCAGTTGGTCAGAACTGATATCTGCTTTTCACCAGACCAGAGAAGAATAATCTTTGGCTGTTTGCTTGTTAACACTTTAATGCTGTTAGCATTGTTTTGTTTTTGCACATGAAACGAAAACTGCTGGATGCCAGAATGGAGACATTTAATCCTTAGTAGAGTCATTGTAAGTGTTTATCATGTCTGGAGCAGTTATCGGTTGCATCATTAAAGGGAAACGGGAAGACAATTTGTTGTGGGAGCCTTGCAAATAGTAAGTGTGTTTGTCATGGGAGTTGAACTCGTAGCAGAGCAGAATTTCTCTTAATTTCCCTCTGGGATTAATAAAGTATCTTTGAATTGAATTTGAACGACACAAATATCAACTAATCTGTGCGTTTGTTGCTGGTAGATCAAAAATATGTCCAGGAAGTTATTCAGCTGCAGCTTCGATGCAAAATGGATTTGTCATGTTAGCAACATGTCAGAAGACAGAAAAGGTGACTGGGCGTGTGTGTTATAGCGTTGAACATCAAAGACATTAGGACCAGTCAGTAGCAGCACCCGTGCAACAACTCTACTTTTATCTCACGCTGAGTAAGAAGCAGCATAACAGGCTGTTGGCCACTGTGGCTCACAGTGGTTCGCCACCAGAGTAGTGGTATCGGCTTGGGCAGTATTATGGTAATACTGTACACCGTGGAGAAAGTTTAACGGTATCAAAATATTGATACTGCCCAAGTTTATAATGGCATTGTGCTCAAGTTGAAATATTTTTTCTCGTCTTTCATTAAAATAAAAGCCATGGGTGTTAAATAACCTCATGAATGTAAAAAATAAGTAAATTAGACGTATTTTTCTAATCACCAGTTACCTGATGGCCTTCCTGTTTCTAGGTGCATTATTATGAAGATGGGAATGTGCAGCTGGTTAGTCATAAGGAGATTGAAGACTCGATACCTGTGACAGTAAGTAAAATGTTCTTTCCTTTCATAGCCTGTTTACATTTACTTATTGATCTTTTTGTTTGTTTTTTTAACAGAATGAAATTCAAACAGCAAAAGAATTTATTGACATTATCGAGAGTGCAGAAAATGAGTACCAGGTAAGGTGCCTAATATTTACTATATGGGTTAAATGTTAGCTAACATCCACTGGTTTGATTGTATCATATTTTTTATTTACCTTTTCAGACTGCGATTAATGAGAACTACCAGACCATGTCCGACACAACCTTTAAGGCCCTGCGTCGCCAGCTGCCTGTCACACGCACCAAGATCGACTGGAACAAGATTCTGAGTTACAAAATTGGCAAAGAGATGCAGAATGCCTAGAAGAGGAAGGGACCGGGATTGTGCACACACTCATGGGTCCACCACCCATCTATATATGCTCAAGGACTAACCAAAGCATACTTTATTAATATGGGGCAAGGAAGTCATGAAGGAAATTGTAACTGAAGATTTGCAGACTGTTAGGCACAGATATTTGTCTGCTGAAAAGAAGTGCAGTTATTAAAAAGGAAAATAAAAAGTTGGGAGTTAGGTGTTACTTTTGGAGGGGTGATCGGTGCTTGGACAGTGTGCAGGGCTGTGCTCAGGAATGCTTCGTTTGAAGGATTAAAAAACACCTTCAACTGTTTCAAGGAACCACAGGACTCTTAAGTTCTAATGGTTTGTCTTAGTAACACTGATGTGTCGCTGCTCTCAGCACACAGGGCACAAAGCAGCTGATGAGAGAAACCAAGCACATCGTCACAAACCAGGGTAAATATGGTAATATATACATTTAGGTCTTTTTTTCCCTTTCTTTTTACTGTTTTTGGCATCATGGCTCCCATTTTCTTTGAAACTGAAAACCAAGGTAAAGAATTCATCATATGATCAGGAAGAGAAATGTCAGTTGTTACATTTAAATTAAGTCTAGAGTTTTGTGCCATCAAAAAAGTATCAAACTAACCAGATTTGGGAAGAGCACACCCATCGACATGACCCTGTTATACAGGTGCTCCTGCACCTGGAAGTTTGATCTGAGGAAACGGTGACCGGTTTTCCGTCGTGCTCCGCTGACGTATCATCTTCCCATTCTGGAAGATAAAACCTTTGCTGCTGCATCCATGCTTAACACACTCGGTTTACTTTCTTAGGCAACTCCCTTATTTCTGTATAGCTTTTCTTTTATAAGAAGGAAAACGCATTAACCAAAAATTATTGCCAAAATCTCTTTCCTATGGTAAAGAAATCCATCTCATATTAATTTGCCTTTTTTTTTTTTTTTTTGCTTTTGTCGGAGTCTTAGAACATTGCACTCAAAACTGTAACTAAACTAGTCAACGCAAAGAGAATGGAAAGCAGCTGCCATATGGCAAGATGATTAACTGTAAACGTAACGTATTCCTGTTGGGCCGTGTCATTTTCTGTGTTACACAACTTCTGAGTAGACTGACTCTGGATCAGTTACGTGTTAGCTATGCTGTGTGCTGTGTTCAAACCTTATAATGTACTACAGCGGTGTGCCGATCAGTTATGAACTTCAAGACTGTACTCCCCTATTCTGTTCAAATAAACGGACTGGACAACTCCAAACTTTGTGACCAATTTTAATTTAAATCTTGATTTGTAGCTTCAGCCTAAACTTTTTTTTAAATTAAAATGTAGAAAAAGCAAATATTCTAATAACCCCAAACAATTTATGGGATGAAACTTAAATCTTTCATTGAGCTCTCAAAGGGTTAAAGGTATACTACGCAGTTTTGGCTAGCTTTTAGCAGCCCCTAATGTCCATAAAACCAAAGATAACACTTTTAATCTCCTTGCTGTGTGTTTGTTTTTAACACCTTAATATTATAGCTGAAATGTCTCCTAAGCCTTCATTAATGATTACAGAATCGGTTCAGCATTAAATCAAATGAGCTGTGTTAACGATCTTAAACGTGATGAAAGCAGACTGCAGCGCTGGCATATCAGCTCCACATAACCAAGTCCAACAGGGACCGGACTGGCATGCTGAAGTTGCAAGTGTGGTATTCTAGCCACAGTGGGCGGTATGGTCTAAGTGACATTTCATTAACTCTATAGCGGGGATGGGGAACCCTGGTCCATCGAGGGCCACTATCTAGCATATTTTAGTTTCAACCCTGCTTCAACACACCTGATTTCAATCAGCAGTTGATTAACAGGCTTCTGCAGAGCTTGATGAGCTGCTGCACAGGTGAATCAACACTGAATCAGAAGTGTTGGAGCAGAGACTTGCAGGATACCGGCCCTCGAGGACCAGGGTTCTCCACACCTGCTGTAAAGGGTCATTTTTGCACATCTGGCTAAAGAAAATTATTTAAAAATATGCAAAAGTTGCTAAGTATCCCTTTAACACATGGACAAGATGCTCAGCTGGGCCTCATATGGTAATGTGCATGTACAAATTTACATGATTTGGCTTCCTGGATGCTAAGAAAATACTGAACTGAACTTACTAAAATACAAAGAATTTACTGAAATAATGTGACAGGTTACTGCTATTAAAAATAGAAAAGCTTTTATTGACCAGTAAATTCAGTATCATCAGTCCTCAGATTTTTGATTTTTTTTAATGAATTGTGACATTTCTTTTTTTTTTTAATGAAACAAATAAACTTTCCCTGCAGTAAAACAGAAAGTTGGAGAATTGATGCAGGACCGCTCTGTTTTCAGAACAACACTGATAACAGCAACAACAGTACGAGTGTGTGTGACGTTCATTGACAAACACAATGAAACATATTTACAGCAGTGAAATAGGTTTCTGGGTCATCTCCACATACATTGCATAAGGGCTCATTGAAAAAACCTGTAAAAACATATTTGCTCTGCCCCGCACTTTTGCTTTTTTAAACAGCCCTTTATTTTTTTCCTTTTCTTACCATTTGGTTTTGAACACATCTAACAAACAGGAAATAACAAATACTTAAAATCTTCAAATTTTAACAATAATTCTACATTAAACTGCAGTTATAAAATGATGCTAGATCCAATAAAAAATCCTGAATATTTTTTGCTTTACAGGTGATCATATAAATGTGAAGGTGAAACAGCCACTATCTACTATCGGGGGCGACGGTGGCACAGGAGTTAAGTGCTCGCCCCATAATCGGAAGGTTGCAGGTTCGAGCCCCGCTCAGTCTGTCGCTGTCGTTGTGTCCTTGGGCAAGACACTTCACCCACGTTGCCTGCTGGTGGTGGTCGGAGGGACTGGTGGCGCCAGTGCTCGGCAGCTTCGCCTCTGTCAGTGCGCCCCAGGGCAGCTGTGGCTACATCGTAGCTCATCCCCACCAGTGTGTGAATGTGTGTGTGAATGGGTGAATGACTGATTGTGTTGTAAAGTGCCTTGGGGGGGTTCCAGGACTCTAGAAGGCGCTATATCAAATACAGGCCATTTACCATTTACTTAGACTTCTTGGTGTGTTGATGAATGATTCTGAGTATACGAGTCAGTGAAAAAGTAGCAACAATGTAAGTTAAAGTTTCTTTTTGCTCTGATAGTTTGTATGATCTGGTCATTAGCTGCTGGAGGATAAAAGCAGGTCTGATTCCTTGGTTCCATCTTGCCCACTGTTGCTGTGCCCACAGTTCCCAGTCAGCTCTGGGAACAGGCTGGTCCGAGCTGAGTGACTTGGCGAACCCGGGGTCGGGCTCATGCCTGGTTTCTTGGCTGGAATTGGAGGAGGATGGGTCTTCTCTGAGCGAGGAGTGAGAGGGGAGCGAAAGCCTGGAGATAACGGCGCTGAAGAGGGCGACCTCCCCCCTGGAGACGAAGGTGCTAGACTGCGGTAATCTGTGCCAAACGGAGAGCTGCTGATGGAAGCCAGCTTGACTCCTGCCTGCTGGCTGGTAAAGCGGGACAGAACCTGAGTGACGGTGCTGCGGGCCAGCTGCTTTGCTGTGCTGTGCTCTGGTGGAGGGGTGGAGCAGGTGGTTGGGGAGAGGTCTCTGGGGGAGAGGGGGCCGCCATGCTGCTGCTGCTGCTCTAGCTCGGCCTGACTCTGGAACTTGTGGCGTGCAGCCTGGAACCGCTGGTTGACTCCGGCTTGATAGGCGGACTGTAGGAAACCTGGGCTTCCCAGACGTTTAGCTAGAACCGGGGAGGTGACGGGGGAGCAGGACAGGGAGGATGAGGCAGTGCTTGTGGGGGAGTGTGGGTGAGGATAGGGGTGAATAGGTGAATGTAGAGGTGCTACACTTCCATTTTCCACTCCATTTTCTGCTCCTCTCCCCTCTTGTGCTGACGAGTCTGTCTCTTTATGAGCATTAAGGCCGTTGACCTTTGACACTAGAGGGGATTTGGGAGTGACGTTCATCCTTCCATCGGGCTCAGTCTGAACAAAGGTGGACACCATCACTGGCTCACATGGCGATTCATTCATCTCCATCACATCCTTTTTCTTCTCCTCTTCACATCCTTGATGTTCAGCCAAGCTCTTCCTCAGCTCTTGCACTTGTTTCTCAAGCTCCTTTCTCTTCTCCTCCTCCACTTTGAGTCTGCCTTTCATTTGCTCCCGTTCTGCGTCAAACTCTGCCAGCTGCCTCTCCAAGCGAGCCTCCAGCTGGACCGCCCTGCTCTTCTCATTCTCCAGAACCGCTTGGAGTTTCTCCTGGGCGCTTGTCTCTTCCTGCAGCAATGCGTGAAGTTGCGAGACTTTCTGAGCCTCTTCCTGAGCCTGGCTGTTGGCCCTCTGGAGCTCCAGTGTCAGATTTGAGGAGAGCTGCTGCTCCTGGGACAGCGACTCCTCCGCCTTATCCACCACTTGTGCCTGTTCCTTCTCCAACCGCTTGACTGTGGCACACTCCACCTCCAGCTGGAGAGACACAAGACGAATCAGAGCTTCCATATTTAACCACAAGGAGGCAACAGCTGTCTGTTTTTCCCTTTTATAAATACTCTAAAAAAGTAAACACAACCGCTTTATTTTCTTTGTATCTTTTAAAACCTGTTTTGAAACGCTTATTTAAAAATGACAGCCTGCCAATAAATACTAGAAAAGACTGATTTCTTTCCTTTTTCTATGATTTTGTTTAATTATGGTTCTGTCTAATAAATGGTCTCAATTAAAAAAAAGGAGGAGACAAGAGTCACTGTTCATATTTCACCATAAAATATGTATTTGCTTGCATAGCATGTTAATGGAAACATGAGTTTGTAGGGAATGCTCTAGAGGACCGAAAGCCTTTGATAAAGGGAAATAGGAGGTGGTGAAATATAATCGTGCCATTCAACAAAAACAGGAGAGATCCTAAGGAAGAGGCTCAGGAAGCCTCTGTTACATAAGGCTGCTGAATAATTGTGTGCTCACTGTGTGTGTGTGTGTGTGTGTGTGTGTGTGTGTGTGTGTGTGTGTGTGTGTGTGTGTGTGTGTGTGTGTGTGTGTGTCGCCTGACCTTGCATTAGACGTGGACATCCATTATCTCAGGTTTCCTGAGGCCATAAAGCCCCATGGCTGCTGGGTAACTAAACAATGGCTGCCTCTTCCTCATCTGTTTCCTATGGAACAGTTTTGTGCTTCTTCTTACGGTAAGCATGTGTGCGTGCATCTGTGTGTGTGTGTGTGTGTGTGTTATTTAAAAAGGAACAAGCTCGCTCCACGCTACTGAGTTACACAGCGGAGCTGCACCAATGCTTCCCTGCTCTGTCACAGAGTTTAAAGTCACAGCTAGAACAAAAAGTGAGTTCTCTCTTTTTCTTCTATAGTTTTTTTTATTTAGCACACAAACAAGCAGGCAGAATGCAGGTGAAGTTGACATTTGACAGCTATGCGTCAAGCATAAACCAAGCTTTCACCTGTTGGAGCAGTTTATCTCTTTCTGTTTTCAGCATGAAGGTGAAATCTGCCCGCCGTGCAGAGTCCTGAGCATTCCGCCGTTTCTCCTCCTGCAGATCAGCTAACATCTATAAAAGACACAAGTTCATTATATATATATATATATACAGACACACACACACACACACACACACACACACACACACACACACACACACACACAAACACACACACACACACACACACACACACACACACACACACACAACTATTTACTTTATATTTCCTCAAAAGATGTAAGATTTTAGATCCACCTGAAAGCAAATGAAGGGAAATGCGTCACGTCTCACCTGTATGTGTGTGTGTGTGTGTGTGTGTGTGTGTGTGTGTGTGTGTGTGTGTGTAAATATTTTATAAGCTACAAGATGGATTTGCAGGAAACTTGAAAAATAATCACTGGATATCTATCTACACCTAGGTCACTTTTGGAGTCAACTTAGGGCAGAGCTGCCACAACTAATCATTAGTGAACACAGAATGGTGATATTGGCTAAATTGATGTAATATTTGGTGCAATAGTAGCTGAGATACAACAATAACATATTCTGAGAGAATTCTATGCGTGTGTGTGTTTTGCCACCTACCCTCCTGTGTCTGCTTTCTGCAGCAGCCAACTGTCCCATCATCCGCTCTTGCATCCTCTTGCAGTGAGTCATGACCAGTTTCAGCACAGCCAGAGGATTTGGTCCCACAGCCTGGCCTTGCAGATGTGCTTGAGGCTGTGAGTGTGTGTTCTGTCGCTCTGCGGCCTCGCTGTCGCGCTGTAGGGCCAGGAATGGATCGCTGAGGTCATACTGACCGTAACGCTCCTGGATGAAAGCATCTCTGTGCTGGGCCTGATGGATGCACATAAACACACAACATATGTGTAAATTAGACACTGGAGTAAATGGATGGGTCTGAGAGGGTGGTGTGTTCTTTCTGAACCCCTGTATGTAGGAATGTGCGCGCGTGTGTGCAGGAAATGAGGGATGTTATTGTCAGCATGAGCGCAAGCAGATGGCCGTTCCTGTCAACCCAAACACAAAGAGGTGAGGCGCTGCTGTCCAACCCCCCACAAGGGGCAGATGTTAACTCCTCCCTTGGGATGCAGGGGTGAAGGACTGAGTCATTAGATGTCTTTCCTACTCACTCACTCACACACACACACACACACACACACACACACACACACACACACACACACACACACACACACACACACACACACACACACACACACACACACACACACACACACACACACACACACACACACACACACACACACACACACACACACACACACACACACACACACACACGGAGAAGCTTGAGATGATGGGTTAGATTAAACCTAAACTAAAATACATTTGTTTAAAAAAAGAAAGGTCACAAGAAACTAAATCCCAAAGTCAGCTAAACTCATTTTACTTTGCTCCATCTAAGTGGAGCAGGTTTTACTGAAACACGATGCAGGGCCTCACTGACCTCGGTCCTGGTCACAGTGTCATCAGGGGGTCTCATTAGCCGCATTACGACTAGCTGGTTCGGGTTTTTAAGGCACTGGGGGTCAGCTCAGAGTCCTTATTAAAGCACATGTGATGTGAAAGACATCACCCACATGCCTTCAGGACACTGGTGTGTTTGTGCTCATGCAGTCTTCTTTAGAAACTTTAGTTATCATTCTGGTAGGTTACTGCCTTCTATTGAAAATGCTATTTCATCACCCAAAAGGGCATTTGCACTGTTCTTTGGAGTTAACTAGAGTTAATTAATGCTTTATGAGTCATTTAAAAACACGCTATAATGCTCCTGTTCTTAGATGCAAAGGTTTGCTGGAAACCACAGAAATGCTGATTATTATTAATGATATGCACTAGGGTTGGACACTAGTTTAACAACATTATGTATCAATTGATAGACGTATGGCGCGATAGAAATAAAAAATGGGTCAATAAAAAGTGTCCTTTCTTTTTTCTGTATTAGCCTATTGGGTAGTGTCAATGTTACTCCCAACCAATGAAAAACAGACCAAGGCAAGCTCCATCACCAAGGCTTCCCCAAACCAAAATAGACAACAAGGTGCCGCAGCAGGGAGCAGTGGAGGAAATTATCCCATAAAAAGGTTACAGTAGTTCACCAGCACAGCCATATTTTGGTTTTCTGAAGTCTGATTAAAAAAAAGACCATGGTTAATTGAAAGATTTGCAGATATAGGGGGTATGGGGGCGGCCTCTGCGCTACCGCAGACTTCTGTTTATCTTGGACATAACTTGCTTTTTATTGCAATTGAAGCCGTGATCGTTAAGTTTTTTAACAAGCAGCTCCTAAAGGTGCCTGTCCCCATCAGTCCCTGTGCAGTCTCTGGTGATCTGAGCTTCAGCTCTAACAGAGAGGCTCATGGAGCTCTGCGGCACTCCAGTTTTCCACTTCAGCTGATTTTATTCAAAAAGCAAACCTTATTGCCTGTGTTTACTTTAATTTTCAATAAATTTGCCAGCCAGAGCTCAGCAATAACTCCCCACGTTATCATGACATCTGCCTCTGTTGTGCCAGGGCGTATAGGACAGACCATTACCGCAATATTACTACCAAGTCTGTATGGCGCGTTTATAGACATACCATTGCGGTAATATTACGCCAATTTGCCGGCATGGCACCTATCGTCTATTTAATGCAGGAGATAGGTGTAGAAGACTGTTTTCATGTTCAGCCAGCATGAAAAACTGAGAATGACCAATAATCAGAAATAATCATTAAAAATGTTTTTTTCAGTCAACCGCACTTTTAACTTTGTCGGTTTTACAAATGTTGAACTAATATTTGATGTGACAACAGCTGAGTTACTCTGAATGCTAATAACTTGTACGACATGCTATCTTCAGGACTATAATTCATTGAGACTGTGATCATCTGAATTAAAATCTTGGCACAAATGATAAAAAGCAACATGTCATCCTTCAGGAAAGTCAAGGTCATATTCATCATTTGCTTCCCGACTTTGTTTAAACAGACGTCTTGAGAGCCTAAGTGAGGATTTAGCTTTTTCATGTGAAAGAATGATCGCAAAGCCCTGCCTTGTTCACCTTTTCCTGATCCTCTAAATATGAAAGTGTTACTGCAGATTAATTATTTTCTGTTTAAAATTCTATATATTTGTTTACAAATAGACGTGTATATGCATTTTAATGGATGTAAAATTTCGAGCTGGAGACAAAACAGCAGCTTTCTATGGTAAGAGTCTTTTGCCACAATCTTTAAATAGAGCATTAGGGCTGCTCTTTATGAGTGCAGAGGCCCATGAGGATCTTTTTTTCCTGTCAGGATAGGTCGGATCATAATGACAGGGTGTGTGCTGCTTTATGAGAGGGCACAAAAACAAACCCGGTCGGTTGTTGGACTCTCATCCCTGCCCAGCTACTGATGACAACAGTCTCTTAAATAGCAAAGTCGTGGGAAAGAATACATAAAGCATGAACAATTTAAAAGTGTACTTTTGTATTTTCAATGCTGTTGCATATGAAATAGATGTGCTGGAGCATGCTAGCTGCTAATGGATTCCAGTTGCCATGTGAGAACAAACCCGAGGCTTTGTTTTCACCTGAGAAAACTGTCAGTCAGTTAGCGACCGCCTTGAGGCAAAAACATGGCCTCAGTGTACTGACAAGAGTCACCCGTTCCATTTTCAAAGCTGCATAACGAAGGTTTTGGTTGTGATGGACAAAAATCACAGTTCTAATGTTAGAATATATATCTCTGATTACTGATGTATTCATCAATCAGATTTTGATCTTTTTTTATCTGTTGGACTTTAATTTGTTTTTATATAATGTCTATGCTATTTTTTTTCCTAATCTCTACATTTTTACTTTATGTATTTATTCTCCATCTGTTGCTCTTTTCTGTGCAGGCTTTGTCTGAATGCGCTATACAAATATAATTCATTATTATTATTATTATTATTATTATTATTATTATTATTATTATTATTATTATCAGGTTTATCTGGCTGCCCACTGGATTATGTGGAGAACATTTGTGAAAGGAGGATGTTGGCGAAGTTGACCTCCATCTTGGAAAACCCCTCCCACCCATTGTATTCCACTGTGGAGACCATGGGCAGCTCCTTCAGTGGCAGATAGAGAGCCTAAGTCATCCCCACCTACTTCCGCACCATGGGTCCCCAGAAGAATGAAATAATGAATGCAAGTCAAAGGGGCTAAAAACGCTATTTTTTAATTCCACTTGTTTTGTACCATGGATTTCACATATGATGTCCGTGATTTTTTAAAGATGCATTTTAATACCAAGAACGTGCTCATTCTCGAACAGGGGGAAACACTATTATAGGTTTTGTGTGAAAATAAGTCCAGGACTACAAATGTGCTTCACGAATGTGACGTCATCGAACCAGACACGGAGAAAACTGAGGAAAAACAGATGTAAGTTCAGCAAACTTCCCACAGGAGGAAAGAACCACCATAAGTCTGGCCATGTGGTAAGTAGCAGCTACGTTAGGGGAGAGGAGATTATGTGGTCATGTCACATGTGCAACGTGCCAATCTCTATTATGTAGTCATGCTAATTACGAACTTTTACAAGCTGATAAACCTCAAAGTACATGACTGGCGTGGTCAAAACACCGATCATTCCTTTTCATTTAAATTGCAGCACAACATATGTGTGATCCAGGGCGTAAGGCTAAGCGGATTAGAAAATTGCGTTTTTAGCTCCGATGACTTGCATTCATTTTTTCGTTCTTCCGGAGACCCATGAGCCGACCGGAAAGGGAGGAGACGTAGGCTCCCTATTGAGACATACAAGATGAAAAACAGGACACTACCATAGGTCATTCATTCCCACTGCATTAAGAGTGTATAACTCCACAGTTGAACTGGTACTGGCATTATCTCTTTTCACGCTAACATCCGAGCTTTATTCAGTAAGTGTGCAATACCTGGATGCACATTTGTATGTCTGTGTTCTTTATGCTGGAAACTTAACCCTTTAAGGGCCCGTGGTGACACTGGTGTTACATCCCATTTCAAGCATTAGCATAATTGCTTCTTGAGTCTAATATTCAAGTTTGACATTCAGTACATACATATATAAAATTTTATTTAACTTCTGTATTTTAATTTATGTTTTTCTACATTTTGATGCATTTACTCTAATCGGTTTTCTATTTCAAAGGGGTTTGGGTCCTTATGGGTGAATTTTCTATTCATATTCATTTTCTAATTGCTGAAGGTTACAAAAATAGCCTACTGCCTTTGTGTATTTATCTTCATTATATTTTCCTTTTCTCTGAGTGCATGTGCTGCCTTAGCGAGTGATTTTCCCTACTGCGGGATCAATAAAGTCTATTCTACTCTTATCTTGGGATTTTTGGGCACACCTACAACTCAAACTGAAGGTGTCTTAGTTACGCGATAATGACAAAATAGAAATTCTAGTCTAATACTAACAATGCTAACAACCTAGGCAACTAACTGGGATCTAGTCTCAACTAACCAAATACTTTCCCTAATTACGAAAGTGCATGAATCCCACATCTCACAACTATGAATTAACCCTTGCTGGCACTTTCTATTTCTGATTCTAGATGGACTCAACACTGGCATTTGGACCCTTGCCCTGGCCGCATAACACTGGCCCTAACCCTAAGGCTAGGGCTACACAACTCTGGTTAAAATGAGAATCACAATTTTTTTTGACGCTTAGAATTGAGCTCACGATTCTCTCACGATTTCTTTTCCCCAAAATAACTATTTATTGCACTTATTACCTGCACATCAACTTCGTAACAGCTGTCACTGAACATGAAAACAATAAATGCCTTTCATCATCTCTT